TTCATATTTACACACCCCTAGTAATTTTAGCTGCTCTGGTGAATGAACTTGCAAATGTGGGCTTATTCCAAAGGTGCAGAAATCCTAGCAAAACGACCGCGAGCACATCATGAGCGTGGCATGTAGCCAAGTTGCATGGTATGCATGTCACGATTTCCACGTTAGGGTCTGTCACTTGCGTTCGCCTTGCACTCATGTCACACCATACCAGTTTTTCAATATGTCATGTGAACGAAACCACTGCAAGAGCAGCAAGACTATGAAATGCAAGTAATGACAAATGTCATGATTTTCATGTTTATGACTAGTCACTACACTAATGCTCGTCGTACGGTCATGTTATGCCATACCAATTTTGGTATCGATACCATTATCGAAACGGCCAGGAGAGCTAAAAGTCGTAGGCGGACGCTAAAGTCGCCATAGTTAGCCAAATAATGCTTCGCATTTAAAAACAAGAGCAGTTATCTTAAAACAGGGGTCTCAAATACGTGGCCCACACATGACTGTCTTTAATCCACATTTTAAACGGAATTTTCTTGTTAAGTATAAACACATCCAACAGGGCACAAAACTGGAAAGGACGAAAAAGGCAGGGTGTAAAGAGCACTACTCAAGTCTCAAAAAAAGGGCGGGGGAGAATGCGCTCTCCCACGTAGCATGCAACGGCAAAGAAACTTTCTGCTGCAACTAAACCGTTCTTTTTCAAGGGCGCAACTGCTTCCATGATCTTCTTTGAAAGGTTTCATGTGCGCGACTCTCCTTCCCATTCCCCCCCCCCCCCCCCCACAACGTGAAAAAAGCACGGCCCAGTGAGCCAGACTCTTATGCAACTGCCCACAAAAGAGGAGCCTCTCTTTGTCCTGGAAACGTATAACTATTTACAATAGAGTGCTTAGGCGCCGACTTTCACTGAGCCACGCTGGCGGCAAAAATTTCTGGAAATAATGGTTCAGTCTCTGAACAGATTCTTTCTCTTTATCTCTAAGCAAAAGTTTAAGACCTTTCATTTGTGCAGTAACTTCTCGAGAAAGATGGTCAGTGGCCCTGAATACCAGTGTTACACGTGCGTAGAGATTTCCTCGCCGTCCCCAGCTTTGGTTTGGCTGTACACAGTGCTGGTGTCGTACATAGTCCGCTTGATACTTATGTCACTAAATTCGGAAGCTACCCGGAAAGCTCCTTACAGAGCCGTTTCTCGGTGCCTTGCAGTGATCTAAAAAAATGGTTATTTTATGTGCATGAACGGCAGAAGGCATTTGTCTCTGTGCGCAGGATTTGAGCACTCATAGCACCAGCATTTGAGTTGACATTATGTCGCACACAGCTTTTTCTTTTTCAAAAATAGTTTTTTTTTTTCTCAAGTTTCGACAGCACGCTAGCTGTTGAGACCCTTGGCTTAGCAAGTGGAAGCTGTAAACACAATCCGAGTGTCACATTCGTCATTTGAGAAAGTGGGCAAGGGAGAGTCGCTCACACATTTGTGGCTGCCCCCTGTAAGCAGTCGTTGAAAAGGTTCATCGGAAGGACATGCTTGAATGCGTTTTCGTTTTCTGCGAACGTCTTATTTTCTAGGTGTCTATGGAGGTCGATGCTGCTGATACTGAGAGGGTAAATTAGTTACATCGCGCACTTTGTTCAGTGAAGGCCGGGTGCGTAGAAAATAAGAGATAACATGATCTACATTAGCAACAGATTATTTGCTAAACTTTAGTTTTGCTGGAGGTAAATGGTGCATGTCTCGTCTATTTCAGGCACTCCAAGCTTTATTCCTGCTACCGCTCTGCTAAATAAATAAGTCGTCGCCCACTACAACAAATAAATGGCAGTCACACAAATGATTTTCCAAAAGACAATGATCATTTGCAACACATGTGTTACCGTTATGCGAGTGTAATTATTACACTAGCAAATACATCTTTTATCGAGAAGAGGACGCACTAAATATCATGTTTCCAAACTTCGTTGGGACGCGTGACATTTGTTTTACTGCACACGGCAACGCTAGAGCTCATGCAGCCATACGCACCTTTTTGCTGCAGTCTTGGAAATATGGCTCGCTAATTCACGGCTTACAAGATAGTTACTGCGCCTAAGCGAACAAGACTGCTTTCCACAAACTTGCTCGCAAACTATCCAGAAACTTGTCAATGGGCCTTTTTTAAGAGTGAACAGCGCCTCCATAGATATCACCGGAATCTAAATTCGGGGTCCGTGGCCTCGGAAGTTATCTGCCACGCACTGGTAAAAAAATCTCGTGCGCTTGGTATTTTTCAGGAGGATTTGAGAACGATACCGGGTGCCCCTCAGTTCGCACCTGTCGCCACCTTGTGCAACTTTTAGAGAAGCTGTTTAGCCTTCTCACCCCACAAAAAACATGGCGTGCGTCAAGACCGTCACCACCCTTTCGCATGAGCAAACTAGTCTCTCGAAAAAGCTCCACTGTTTTACATACTATCGTTCAACCGGTGTCGCGTGAAATGTTCGAACACAACACTTGTCACCTCCGTGCGAAGGGAAAACCTCGGAACTGACGCAAAGCAACTTCATGCTTTTCTTCAGAGATGGTGCCACCACCGAAAAATATTTGCGTGGTTTATTACTTTTTGAAAATCTGTTGTCTCAAGCGTGGCTTTGCAAAATTAGTCAGCACTAGTAATTACAAGACATGACGTGGTCCTACTAATGTGCAATACTTGTTGTGATATAACCTATAAAGAAAAATAAAAGTAAATTTGAACGAACCTAGCAAGCAGAAAAATGAGGTAAATTCACTGCTGTCATACTATTTTTCTGATTACCTTAAGACAATTTTCTCTTCATAGAAACCCAGAGAGAGGCTTGCTGCTCGAATTTTGAAAATTTCCGACTTTCAGCTTGGATAGTTTCGTCACTTCGTCGGTAATGCTTGAACATGTGAAGCCGTAAATTGACGAATTCAAGTAGTCAGAATTCATGGACTATTCATCAGAATGCAAAACATTTTTGTAGCCAACAAAGTATTTTGTAGCCTAGAAACTCAATGTTATTGTTCTACACAAAACTTACATAAAAGTTGCTGCCTCAAACTTACATTGTTTTGCCCAATTTCATTGGAGTCTATAGCACTTATAAATTGCTTTACTGGCTATATCTCTTCATATAAACGTTGCATAATGCTTCAAGAAGCTCAGCAAACTTTATTTCGTTATGACGAACAGTTTTACCCCACGGCCATTGTCTTCATTGCTATGCAATACCACTTCAGGCTAGGCGACAATACTAGCTGTCATTAGAAAGTGCAGAACGTAAGCTTTGTAATGCAATACAGTACACATCAATAGGCTAGGCGACAATACTAGCTGTCATTAGAAAGTGCAGAACATAAGCTTTGTAATGCAATACAGTACACATCAATACGGTGAGCGCAGTAAGCATAGTGAGTCAGCAAACAATGACTAAAATGCGGAGCAGGTGCCGTAGGAGTGGGACCGCCACCTTAAAGAGTGGCAACACACCTCAAGGCAACATAAGGGTTTCGTTCCATCTTTCAGTATTAAGAAGAGACGCTACTAGAAAAAGTGATTGATTTGTGGGGTTTAACGTCCCGAAACCACCATATGATTATGAGAGACGCCGTAGTGGAGGGCTCCGGAAATTTTCACCACCTGGGGTTCTTTAACGTGCACCCAAATCTGAGCACACGGGCCTACACCATTTTCGCCTCCATCGGAAATGCAGCCGCCGCAGCCAGGATTCGTTCCCGCGACCTGCGGGTCCGCAGCCGAGTACCTTAGCCACAAGACCACCGCGACGGGGCTACTAGAAAAAAAAATACTGGAGTGTTTTTCAAAAAAAAAAAGACATACTTTTGTTTTTAACCACTTAAATTTTGTTTCTCTACTTTTATGACAAAAAAAAAATCTCAAGGTTGTAAATAAACTCGAAGTAGATTAAAAAAAATCACTTTGAAAGAGTGCAAGGTGGCTAGTAAAACTAAAAAGAGCTCTCATTGACAAGAGTCACCTGGAAATCACCTGGGTACTGCCCATTGCATTTCGCATGAGCAGTTCATCAAAGCCACTGAATATAGCCGTAAATCCCAAGCTTTTACAATGGAGAAATCTTAAAAAGCACATCTTAACCACATCGATGAGGTTTCACTTATACATTTAAAATGAGTTTTTCTTCAGAGAGCACTGACAAAATCTCGAAAGCGAGATAATTACTGATAGATTCATGCAGAGACATCCAGAACATCTACAAAATATCGAGGGCAAATATAGCTTCTAGAACATTTATAAAATCAATTTGAAAGTGCGTGGCACGCGACCAAGAAAAATGTGCAGCCCGTCGTGACGCCGACATCAGCGCGGCGGGAGTGCTAACAAACCTACATCATGAGTTTGTGTTGGCGGTTTACTTGGCCCTTTACAGCTAGCTGCTACAGGCACGGTTCAGTCGAGTTTTCCAGTCTGACTGGAGCGCCAGAATACATAGCCTAGCGGACAAAAAAAAACCACGAGTGAAAATGGAACGCGACGCGCGCGTCTCGCGCCCTGCATGTGTCGGCCGATTTGTGGCCAGGATACAAGGGAGACGCGAGCATGCGTCTATTTTCTGCGTTCCCCTAACGGCGAATGTCTAAACTTTGAGACGGGGCAGTGTGAGCAACGCAGCTCCCTCTGGTCAGTGTGCGGTGCCCATACTTCCCGTTTTTAGCTCTCCCATTTGCACAGAGACCAAGGCAACTTTTTCAGGTTGCTGCATTCACTACCGATTTTTGAGCTATCAACTAGTCGGTTAGCAAATGAAACGCACAGAGGACTACAAAGAGACATACCCAAAACCATAGAAAGATCTCGTAGACACAATGCTCATAGTCGGTTAGCAAATGAAACGCACAGAGGACTACAAAGAGACATACCCAAAACCATAGAAAGATCTCGTAGACACAATGCTCATAGGAGGGGAAAAGGCATGCCGCGACCATAAGATTTCTGCGTGCAATTGCAACGTACCATAAGTGTCATCAGCTCCTGTTGCAGCCTGAAAAAAAAAACTATATGAGCAATGCAGCAAAGTTGAACAGCCAAGAAGCTAGTGCATGCTAAACGGCAGGTGTCTTGTTATGCATCTAAAAATCGAGCACAATTACACGTGCCGAGATACTGCGCGTCAACCGCCACCTACATCACGTACGCATTGGAAACACACTGTGCTGGTTACAGTTAACATTCAGTTATAACGAGGAGGCGCAACATGAACTAGTCACATAGCAAACGTAAAAAATGCACTGCCCTGGCAAACTTTCCTTCTGACAAAAGCAATTTTATGGATTGATTGTGCGTTAGGCCTACGACGCGCAACGACCTGTGGCTTTACCTCTTTGCAACAGAGTGGCTCCCGGGGTCTACCCTCCGCTGCTCGTCGCTGCTTTTAGCATGCTCTCCATCAGCCATAGGATCATCATTTTGAGATGCCATCTTGAAAACAATGCCCCGCTGTCAACAGTATGCTCAACTTCACCAAACCTCACAAACGGCCGCTTTCAAAAGTTCAAAACCCAACGAGAAAGTCCCGTCTGTCAACTAGCGGATCCGGCCAATCATATAACCGATCGGGTACAGCGCGAGACGCGACAACAACGACGCCTCGTAGCGTCTGTGACTTGCACTGCTGGAGCACTTTTAAAAATTTTCAAAAGATGTGTTAAATTGCAAAATTTTTGAATACTTTGATTTATTTTTTACAAGTGACATTTTTAGAAAAAGCGTTATGAGCAAGCAGTGTCAATCAGTTGACAAATTACCCAAGTATGAACATTTGGTTGAAAGATCAGCGAACCATGGTATAAACATTGTCACGTGCTTGCATCTGGCGACCAACGTTACTGGATGGAGCCACGTTGCTGGCGACTGGTGTGCTCATTCATTTTTAAATCTTTTTTATTAGTAATAGAAAATAACTAAGACAAAAAAACTAGCTTTAAAAATAAAATAAATAAATGATAAAATTTATGCATATGTTGACACGGAAGTACACAGATATAGATTAGTTCGTTAGTGTTTTGGTTTCTATCAGATAACTTCGCACAGCCACGCAAACTTTTGTTTCTTTCTTCTTCCCTTTTGTTTTGTATTTTGCTTCCCCTACTATCATGGCCTCGCCGAGGTTCGTCGTTCTCTCCGGTTCTCCCGGAATCGGCAAAACCACCATAGTAAAGAACGCAGCGAAGGCTCTTGCTGATCAAGGTATCGCTGTCTCTGGCTTCTACACGACCGAACTACGAGAGGATGGAAACAGGGTTGGATTTGACGTTGTTGCGACGGATGGCAAAAGGGCACCGCTAGCTCGCCTTCGCGAATTGTGCCCCGGCGGGAAAGGCCCGTTCGTAGGAAAGTACTGTGTCACTGTGCAAGCCTTCGAAAAGATTGCCCTGGACTCCTTGAAGAAAACACGGTGCGATGTACTTGTCATCGATGAAGTTGGCAAGATGGAACTTTTCTCCAAGCCATTTGGGAACCAGGTCGCTGAACTCTTCTCTGACGAAAGCAACTGTATTCTCGCCACCGTACCCGTGAGTACTGGAGCGCAGTGCCTACCTCTCGTGGACCAGATCAAAAGTCACAAGCGCGCACGAGTTTTGGCTGTGAACCGCTCAAATCGGGACCACCTCGTGAATGAAGTGTTGGACATTATTCGGAGTGCTGTTGGAAAATAAAACTGCAAGGGCATTGTTGTAACTTGTTGTTTTCCAGTTATGAACTGCGCAGCTCCAATCTCTCAAATTTCGCGAAGGTGAGCTTCCCCTTTTGGATGCGTGATCGAGAGTGCGTCGGGAGTCAAATTTAGACTCGGAGCTGTTCGACTTCACCATAGGGGTACAGAGGGAGGTGAGCTTCGTTTCCGTTTCACGTTTTGAAGTTGCGATATGGACGTCGTTCGAACAGCGCTTGCGGAATACAGCCTAAGAAAGTTAGTAAGTAGATGTTTGTGCTTTAGTTTTGTTAGATGCCTTGGCGGAATGTGTTGCACAGCTTCGTAGGTAGTGACCGACGCTATATTCGTGTTCGTTATGCCCGGGGATATTTAAAATCTGGTTGTTTTTTACTTAAGTGTCTTTTCTTTTGTCCAGATGCACGCCATGACATGGGCAGGCGGAACGAAACTTTGAACGAAGACTGAGATGTGTTTCTTCCAGTGGTTTGTCGACATGGAAGGAGATCAAAAAATTATTTCATATGAAAGTCTGCCTGAAAATATTCTCTTAAAAATTTTTATGAAGCTCTCGCTACCTGATCGCCTTCGAGCAGCCCTGACCTGCCGTCAGTGGTGCAACATTTTCACTTCTGCAGCTGCATGGACAACTTTCCATTTTCGCTTCTATAGCCGCAAGGACACGAGGTTTCTTCAATGCATTGTATCATATGGTTCTTACCTGCGTCATGTTGTCATTGAACTGAACCAATTCCAAAATGTCAATCGTGTGAATGCAGTGCAAGCACTTCTACTGCTTGCCAAGTGCTCTTCTTCAAGGTTATCAAAGCTAAGCATTATTTGCACTGGTGAGAATCCTCTTTTTTACGCAGGAAAAGAATTTGTGTCCGCCTTGGAAACTGTTTTTGGGAGGTCTTGCAGTCATTTAGTTCAAGTGAATCTCAGCAAGTTTCCTATGATGATTGACTCGCACACAATTGATGTTCTGTCCAAGAACAACCCCCAGCTGGAAAGTCTGAACATTCAAAATGACAACCTAGTTTGCTTGGTGCAACCAGAAAGCATCCTCAGACTTGCGCAGCGTTGCCGGCGACTTCGTGAGCTGTGTTTACACAAGTGCAGCCTTTCCCGAGATGTGCTTCTGTGCTTCCTTGAAGAAAATCGTGTTGCTCTCGAACACCTGTCCCTGCAGTGCCGTAGTGAGGAGATTATTGCCAGCCACCCACAGGACGAAAAGGCACAACTGAGCTCAGAGCTGTGGTCTTATGTAGTTGGCCACTTACCCAAGCTACGTGTGACCCTGCATTTTGACCAGACTTGTCCTCTTGTGGTTATTCCTCTGGTTATGAAACCAGAGGTGCCTTGTGCAGTACTGAGGCTGGAGACTTTCACAATAATACATGAAATGGTGTTACAGGCTGCATACAACTACTCAGAGACACTTGAAAAACTTATCTTACAAGCACCACCTAGTGCTGAACTGGAAAGTGCCTTACTGGAACTTTCGCATAGGTGTTCTAGGCTAAGGGCGCTGCATGTCTTTTGCCCATTGAGCGTACACACAATAGATAACATTCTGCGGGAGCACCCACACATGAAAGCTAGTGGACTTTACACCTTGAGATCAGAAAGAGGCACTGATGGGCCATGGGCAACAGATGAAAAAGTGAATGCGTAATGCACCTGAAAAATGCTGCTCGATAAGCATGGCAAACCATGAACTTTCTCGCTCAGTCTAGTCATAAATTTTGGAGGAAGGCTCCAAATTATTATGATTTGGGAAAGGCATTTTAATATCATTTGACAGCTAAGCAGTTTGGTCATAAAGTTGCAGTGCATTATTATGAATAAAAAATATTGCAGCTCCTGTTGTAAGTTGTGTCTCTATACACTCAACTTCAAAGCAGACCAATATGTATATTGTATATGAGCATGTTCTGAACAATTATTTCAAACATCAAAACAGCCTAAGCTGGCTGAAAAGTTATACATGTTTGCAGTATTAGTGTGCACTAGTTCTTCATGGGTAAAAGATAAGGGGGTTTGAATATTTGAAAACTTCAAATTATGAATTGAACAACTTTGTTTCACTATTCGAATCAAATAGTACATATTCAAAATGCCAAATAGTTTTAAAATAATCGGGACCGACGGGAGAGCCCAAAAATAACGAAACTTTAGAGCAGTTTAAGGTCATTTTTTTATTTTAATCACTCGATTATCAATGTGTATGTTGCCCAAGCTCTTACAAGACTGCCAGTGCTATTTTTTATTAACGGGAAAAAGCGTTTCGTCTAAAATTTCCACTCTTAAATTTTACCGTGCTGCAGTGGCATTGCATAAACCAGCTCCTGTCTTCAGCATCTAATAAATGAGGTTGGGGAGCACGACTTCATTCAGCTTTATGAATAACAAAAAAAAGCAAAAGTTGTGTTTCTGTAAATTGCTCTTGCACATAAAGCTTTTAACACTGATTTTAACATGCTTTGAGAACCGAGGTCCATGTGAGAACGTGTTGTGAGAACATTTTTATCTGTTTCATGACATCTTTATCTTATGTTTGGGTTGTTCAGTTCAAAATTCGTCTGTTTTTCATCTCAGTCATACTTAAATGTGGGCAACAATTGACTACTGTACTTACATCATACACAATCTTAACGCAGTTATCAGAACTTTGGCATTTCAAGTCAGTCAAAGGTAAACTTTTTTTTCTCCCGAAAGGTCGTGAATCTAAATTTTTTTTTTTTCAAATGAAATGTTGTGGAACTTAAAGCATCTTTAAAAATTATTGTCTTATTGTTTTGAAACTATTCAAATGATATTAATTTTTATTTGTATCCCATTCGGTATCATCACTATTCAATTCGTACTAGATTCGATTCCAAAATTCACTATTCTCACACTCTTAGTAACAGAAGTTGTGAGGTGATAGAAGCATAATTGAATTGTGATGTGCTAACATGTTACATTCCTAGTTATGCTAGATGACTAAAATAAAGAGGTGCATTCACTAAAACGTTGCAGTCACTATCACTGGATTTAGGCAGTTATGGTCTGGGTGAGTTAGGGAATTACCATAATGTACTGCACTTGATTTCATCCCTTGTTCTTCATGTGTTGTCATTTGCATGTTTTGTTAGAAAGGTGTGGACCAATTGGTAACGTTCCGTGCTGCTTGGTTTAAAGTGCACGAACAAAACACAAGATGATGTTCTCATCAATTGCCCTCGACAATCCTCTTGTTGGTTGTGCGGTACTAAGTACCCATTTGTTCTAATCTTTTCCTGTGCCCTGCATTTGTGCTGTAACCCCAGCAGCACAAGGTTTAATGTTGATGTCTCATCACAACGGACTAAAAAGAAGTACCCTTGGGTATTTAAACAAAATTTTTTCCCCTGTAACCAGCAGCACAAAGTTAAAAATGCTGCACAGCACATGGGTGACACACATAGCAAGCATATTTCAGATGTAAATCCTAAACGAATTTCACTGCAACTCAATAGTAATATTACTTCTGCAAATTAGTCTGTAACTCAAATTAAAGATACTTCACATTTTTTTGTATTTAAACAGCACATATGTTCATTCAGTCAATTCATTGTTTTACAACTACACATTGATTCAAAGCTCGTCAAATAATAAAGAAAATTGTGCAACTTGTAGGCAGTCACATAAGAGACCATTTTAGTGCCATCAGACCCAATCAAGAGAACAAAACTCAATTTCTACCAGGCTTAGTCATAATTAGAAGTGTCTGTGTGATATCGCTTAACTTTGGCAAAATTAGTTCACCTAAATAGAATTGCTGTCTTAACGAAACAACTGCCTCTAATTTGGTCGATTGACTAGTTGGGTTTAGGACCACTGTATAGTGTATGCTTTCCAGT